TTTTATGATTATGTTGGTATTTTGTGGGTGCAATAACAGCAAAGAGGGGTTGGTGGGGGGGGGGGGGGGGGGGGGGGGGGGGGGGGGGGGGGGGGGGGGAAGTCTCCTCCTTATTGGCATCCACACCCGATGTTAAGTTGATAATTAACAAATATTCTTATCATGTTGAGATGCCATAGATATTCATTTATGGACATCACAATATTTCTTCGGGCCACACAAACAAAAATGACAGAAAAATTGAAGAGGCAACATATAAGCAAGCGAAAAATAGTTTGTTTAACGTTTTAATAAACTTTAAATGATGAAAAAAAAACAAAATCTCATGAAGAAAATCAAAACAATCTTTCAAAAAAGACCAAACTTTGAAAGCCTAGTACGTCTCTCTGGAATGTTTTATACTAACTTCAAAAAATTTAACTTTCAGTTTATGCCTCTGAGAATCTACAATGAATCATGAATATATTATTTCAAAAGTTCATGTCTTCTTTCATCACTATTTCATCGTTTGCATCTCGCTTTATCCTAAGATATCAAAAAACCTTCTCGATCATTGCTCTACCGTAAGCAAAAGGCTTGAACGCTCTTGGAAAATGCTGAAAGTCACCTTTTTTATGAGATCCATAAATATTCATTTTGAACTCATTAGTAATAAACTCATTTGAAACTTAACTTTCTCTGCTTCGTAGGATCCCTAAAAGCTTCTTAGATACTGAAATAGTTCTTCTATCAATGGATAACAAACATAGATCTCAATAGAGTATATTATTGCAAGTAATAAAGATTATTTTATAAACAATAAATATTTTTTTATATCTTTGTACGTATATTAAGCAGCGGATATGGAATGACATGCTTATGAGCATTCCAACTAATTTGCACATCAAAAAGGTTAAAGTGTCCGCTAAACATTGTGCTAATTAATCAATTGCTCTTTCTTATTTTGTCTCGATTTGTTCCTAATGTTCTCTTTTTTTTTGTATTTCTTCCGATGTAGTTGATGTTAGTTCTTGATTCTTTCTGTTTTCTTCACTGTCATGTTCCTATACCCTTTTCTGGAAGTAATAAAAATAAGCTGATTACGTTTACAAATCTGATTCAATAATTATCCAGTGATTTCATGCATATCGAGGTTAAAATGTATTCATTTTTGTGCACATCAATAACTTTTCCAGATAAATCAACACAAAAGGCAAGAAAAAGAGTGACAACATAATATTTTCATTCTACTGTCATCATCTATTTTCGGGGTATATAGCGCGGCCTCAAATTAGAGAAGACAGTCATTTATTGCATACATCGTAAGAGGTAGGAAAGACTATCTTTTATTTCTTCTCAGTATTTCAAATGCATCTTCTCTTACTATCTTCCAATTTTTTTTGTGTTTTCCCAGATCGTTCTACTAATGCTTTGTTTCTAACCCTAAGATGCTTGCATGCATGAATACCGTGAAATATCGAGAACTGAAAAAAGGATTCAATTTTTCATTTGTCATGGAAGTCATTCTCTTATTTTTCTAGCATATCAGTCAGTAACAAAACGAAGAAAATTCTAAATTTTTCCTAAAGAAAAACCAAAGCTCTCTAACATTAACAGGATAAAGCTTCTACAGTTCTTCTCATTGTCAACATACCTGTATCGTGCAAACCATTTAAAGTTTCTTATTATTTCAGATTGGTTTCCACTTCAACAATAATAAAATACATTTTTGTTTTGTTTTATTTTAGCAATTCTTATTCTTGATAACTTTTTCAAACAAATCAACTCAACAAAAAGTATGTATAGTGTTAGACTTATCTTCGAGAAACAGGCTACATTTTGAAGTATGCACTTTCATTAAAACTTAATCAAATAACAAGAAATGTCCCTTAAAATTAGATTTTAATAGATTGAAATATACTTTTTAACTTTAGTCTTATTTTATTCAAATCTCAGAACTTTTAATCTAGTAATAAAGTTTAATTAGTTGAAGTCGGATTATCATATAAAACCGTCGAGAAAATCAGATAAACTTTTTCAAAAAAGTGAACGTACTAAGTGGAAGTTAAAATATCTACAAAAGTTTTCTCCTTGATCTTCTTTTATAGAGATAGGTGATTTTCAATGTGCCACAAGGTAATGTGGAGAAAAACGCATTTGAAAACTTTTTATTTGTCTTGCAAAACAAAAGAAACTGCTTCAGGCTAACATCTCTGCTATGAAAGAGCATTTTAAAGAGATTACAATAAAATTCTATCCTACAATGTTCAAAGAACATCCAGAATTGCGCAACTTTTTCAATCAAACAAATCAAAAAACTGGAAAACAACCTGTGGCATTAGCACAAACTGTCTGCTATTTTGTTGACAACCGTGATAGTTTAGATGTTATGATACCACAAATGAGACGTGTTTCTAGCAAACATCGTACAATTACAGTCAAACCAGAACATTATCCAATTGTTGGCAAGTATTTATTACAAGCAATCATAAAATATATGGGTGATAAAGCTACACTTGAATTAATGGCTGCATGGCAAGCTGTATATGATATGATTGTTGCAACCTTTATCAAATAAGAGAAAGAATTATACGATAAACTTGGTACTAATGAACGTGACAAAGGTTTTGTTCCATTTACTATTATCAAGAAAGACGCCATTATAAGTGGACCAACTTATTCTATCACATTGGAACGTAATGATAGTGGAAAACTATTCGATTATCATTCTGGACAATATGTTACATTACGTGTTGAAAAAGATAGTATTCTTCATCATGGACACTATCCTTTGGTCAACACATATGATGGCAATTCCTATAATGTTGCTTTTAAACAAGGAAATGGTCTTGATCAAAATAGCATTGTCTCAGAAGAAATGATTCGCAATTACCATGTTGGCAGCACAATTTTACTTCCACCTCCTGCTGGTAGTTTTGCACTTGCCAAAGACGCCAAACGTCATTTATTTGTTAGTGGTGGTATTGGTATTACATCTTTCATGGCTATAATCCAAGAATTAAATCAACAAGGAAAAGCAGGCTCAGTATCATTAACTCAATGTGTACAAACTGAAGAACATGCTGCTATTGCTGGCAAATTACATAGAATCCTTTGAAAAGATCAATATGTAATCTTGCCTCAAGAAGAACCACCTTCAAAGACGCATCTTCAAAGCAAATGAACTCCAGACACATATGTTTACATTTCTGGCTCAGAACTTTTTTTTTATCTATGGCTGAAAATATCCTTGCAAGTGTCAATCTTCCTAAATCTCAAATTCTTATGCGATCAATCGAACCAAAACTTCGTATTTTACAACGTATTGGTCAAAAATAAGTGATCAAGTAATAGAATAATGAGAGCTCAACAATAAACACCTATAGTGTGTTACCCACACCTTTCTCCTACCGTGCTTCATAAAAATAACACTTTCATATGTAATTATTTTATTATCTTGTATTCGTACTAGTATTAGTTGTTTTTTCTCTTCACTTGTTTCTTCATTAGTATTTCGTTTTGATATAATTGGAAGATAATATAGAATAATAATAAAGGAACATCATCAAGGGGGAAAAAGCGATTTATGATTTATTGATTTAAAATGAGTTTCAGTGATTTTTCTGATTTAATTGAGTTTAGCTGATTTTTTTGATTTAAAATAAGTTTAGCTGATTTTTTTGACTCAAAACTAACTTAAAGTTATTTAAAATCACATAAATCAGGCGTCGTGAAACGATTTTACAGGAATATACGATTACTATTTTCTGTGCAGACATAAAGAGGTTATATTGAGTGATGATAGCAGATTTTTATCCAACTAGTTTACCACGCCATTGATGCAATAATCAGTCAATTAGCTCACGTAGAAAACGTAACATTTCACAGATTTACATGTTCTAGTTTGTCTGATGTAACGTATAATATACACATAAAAGAGAACATTTATCTTGAAGTACTTTTTTGCTATTTTGATAGCAAATTAATTGTAATGTATATATTTATAACTGCAGGATTTGAATCCTAGTTGAGTACAAGAAATGACAGGATAAGAAAGTAGAACAATCCTTTTTTTATTATGCAAATGGTTTGTATATATGTAGAAGACAAAGATATAAATGTCCTACTTCTGTGGAACT